ATTATCAAAAAAATGACTAAAATATGAAACATTTTTATTAAAAATAAGTGAAAACTCATCTAAAAATAGTTTTTGAAAAATTAAACCAAAATGGGCACTATTGGTGGTGAACAACCTTTCATCTATTCAATTCTCATAATTTTGTAAGCTTATCTAGTTTTGATTTACTCAAAGAAAACATTTTTTTGGGATAAATTACACTTTACCCTCTTTATATTTGGTTATTTTTTTGACTTTGGCACTTAAATTTTAAATTTTATTTTTAATTTTTTCATTTTAACCTTTCAGGTTTCAAATTTTTTTTAATTTACTCCTAAAGTTAATCTATATTCAAAATTAGATAGAAAAATGTCACAATAACTGTATGCCATATAATTGTCAATGCGTTATTTTTTATCTAATTTTTAAGGGGTATTTTTTTTAAGGTCCCTGATATTATGATTTTATAGTATAAAGGGCATCAAATATTTTTATGATGTCTAAGGTCCCTCAATAGGATCCAGAGAAATTTCAGTCTCAGAGAAATTCTCTCCAGAGAAAATTGAAATTTCTCTGAGTACCAAATAAATCCAGAGAAAATTGTGGAGAGGAAATTTGTATGGCTATCCAGGAAATTTCTTTGACTTCGCAAATTTCTCTGGCTCTATTAACTACAATTAAACCCATGTCTAACAAACCTACAAACCCACAAAATTCTCTGGTCCAAAACCAGAGAAATTCTCTTCAAACCAGACAAACCAGAGAAATTCTCTGGATTGAAACCAAAGAAATTCTCTCTATTTACAGTAAAGTTGTATTTTTATGAACAGAAATTGGTGATTGTACATTGATCTAGGAAATTTCTCTGACTTCACAAATTTCTCTAGCTCTATTACAAAGAATTTCTCTAACTTACTGAGGGAATTTCAAGTCGCACAAACCCATTGTAATGCTGCAGTTTCAAAGATGGAACTTATTGAGGGACAGACTGCAGCAGGATTGGGCAACTTTTGAGTTTCGGAATACCCTCTTGGGCCATGGTGTGATTCACTGAATTCAATTCAGTGAAATTCTTGAATATTTTCTGCATCACCCAAAAAAAAAAAAAAAAACAACAACAACAACCTAAAACAATCCAGAGAAATTCTGTTTAATTCTGTTTTTGGTCTTTCAAATTTCTCTGGACACTTCAATCTAGAGAAATTCTTCAACCACCTCGATCTCCGTCCCCAACACCTTATCTGCTCCCAAGTAATCCCTCACGAACGACTCAACCATCACCGTCAGATTCGCCGTAACCACCACTTTCCTCTCACACTTTTCGAACACATCGTAGCTTTCGGCCCTCATGTCCACCGCGAAGAACCTCGGTAGCACCGCGCGAGAGACGTGCTCGATGTTGCGGATCTTGAGTCCGGCGTAGGAGATGAAGATGAGCGCCTGGATCGCGAGGGCTTCGGAGACGAAGATGTATGCAATTGCGATGAGAGGGAATGAGAGGAGGAAAACGAGGCCTCGTAGGAGACTACCGGCTTCTACGGTGACGAGCATGAAGTAAGGGAAGAGGACTGCGATGAGAGTGTTCCGTTGAGTCCGGTCAGAATCGTAGTCCGAGTGAGTTGGAGCTCGCGAGGTGAAGAGTTTTGGAGCGGTGGTTGTGGGTAAGAAGTAGCGGTGGGTTGGGGTGGTGATGGGTCGGATTTCGGCGGTGGGGTGGTGTGGGTGAGGGGGTGAGATGGGTGAGTTGGGAAGTGGAAAGTATCCACTGGGTAAAGCTTTGGGAAGTGTTGGAAGATGAGGAGGACTCAGAGTCGGGTGGTGGGGTGCGGGTGGGTCAATAATGAAGATAGTAGTATAAGGACGAAAATTCTTCTCTGAATGTTTTAGAGATCTTAGACATTGAAAATAATTTTGTGGATCTCTCCAATCTACGAAAAGTGAGACGAGGGACCCTAAACCACATTTCTCAAATTTTTAATAGAAGTTAATTTTAAAGAATAAATTTAAAAAAACTTGAAATATGAAAATAGAATAGAAAAAGTATTTGAAAAAGTGACTAAATTTAAAAAAATGGCAAAGGGTAATTTATTATGTTTTTCAAATTCTGTATAAAAAAAAATTGCACAAACACTACCTTAGAAAGTAAAAAATTTAATTTAAATTAATTTATCATATATTTCCTATTAGTTCCATTTGGAAAACAGTTAAAAATTAGATTATAGTTCCATTTGGAAAACAGTTAAAAATTAGATTTTAATTTATATTTATCTCTCATATTTATATAATATATAATAATTTAAAAAAAATAAACAAAATTAACTTTAAACTATTTTAAACCATTTTAACTACACAAAAATTGTGTACCCCAAACATTTTCCTTTAAAAAAACACCATCTATGGCTAATTGGAGTTGCCAAAGTCAACATTAATTATCACCACTGAATCTCTTGTAGTCAAATCATTCTACGTTAGGCCTGAGAAGTGATTTCTCAACTCTAAACAAAACAAAAAGCAAGGAACAGAACAGAGAGCTATTGCTTGATCTGGAATTGTAAAATTCATAAAATTAAAGCATGTACAAGTTGATCAGTTGGAAGTTTCCAGCAATCACTTTCCCGTGCTTCAGCGGTTAGTGTTAATCCAATGTAATGGGCTCAAGAAGATCCCATCTGAAATGAGGGATATACCCACACTCCAGATGATTGAGGTGCATTGGTGCCACCCTTCTCTTGCTAATTCTGCCAAGGAAATTAAGGAAGAACAAGAAAGTATTGGAAACAATTGGCTGCAGATGATTGAGTCCAACAATAATGTGCTTTAGTGCATTAACTTGATCAAATCATGATTTTTATTTACATAAATTAATTTTCTGTTTGTTGATATCTTTTTTTTTCCTCCTTTTTTTCCCCGTGTTATTATTAATCTTCTTTTTTTTTTCTTTTTTTTTCTATAAGTACCTAATCTAGAAGATTGATCATTAAGTAGGTAATAGGACTGAAAAACCCTAAGTTATGTGATTTGTGATTTATGAGCTAATAAACATCAATCAAAACCAATTCCCAAATTGACAATAATCTAAATCATCTAGCCTATACGAAAGTGATTTAGATTATCTCTAAGGAATCAACAAATAGGACACAATGGATTTTAACGTGGAAAAGCCACAATTGGAGCACCTCCAATTGTGATAAAAAAAAAATCACGGCTTAAAGCCACAAAACAATCCACTATGAAGATAATGAAATTATACAAGAGTACAAGCAATTATCCAACACTCACTCAAGAATTGACTTCCACTCATTGTGTCCCCTTTTCATCAACATCTTCGTCCTGGGATTGATTAGTCCGGTGTTGAATTCACAACACCCATGTTGTGTCCACGGCAATGAGCCGCTTCAAACACCTTCAAAGCCTTTGAATCCACTGATGAATGCTCTATGAAGGTAGATTCATAACAAGCCCCTTGATATATGCTATTCAATCCATGCGAGGCAACTAGCTCAAAAAATGATCAACGAAAATATCACAAAAGCTCTTCAAATGAATACCCAATAGTTCTTAGGTCTCCAATCGCTGATATGGAAGAGATGAACCCTAAATTATGCACTGAGGTAGCTTAAAACAAACAGAGGCATGAAGACCGCTCGAGCACAGGAAATATCACTCGAGCGGTGTGTCTAAGAGGCGGTTGTAACGAATTGAACAGCTGTCACTTCGCTCGGGCGCAAGAGTGTACACTCGAACGATAAAAGAAGCCTTCTAGTATCTAAGAACAAGGACTGAGATACTGGATGCCTCGTTTTAGCGCTCGAGTGCTCAAACCACTGCTTGAGCGGTCCATGCAAATTGACAGGTTCACAAACACACAGCAATGCTACTCAAATAACGTTTGTTCGCAGAATTGACAAAGCAAGGGACCTAACAACATTTGATATTCATAGTTTACATGAAACTCTAGGGGTGTGTTTGGATCATGGATTTGGATAGGGATTTGGACAAGGAAAGGGAAAAAATGAGTGAAATGTGAATGAAGCATAACTACATTTTACCCACAATTTCCATTTTTAAATTTTTATCTAAATTCATGATCCAAGCACATTCGGGTTTTTTAGGAAAAAGCCTTAGCAAATGAATTAGCCAAAATTTTCTAATTCTATTAAGCCAAAGGCATCGAAATGGATAGATTGTGGACAAATAAATAGGGGGAGAATTACACTGACATTGTGTCAAAGAAAAATATTTACAAAAAGTGAAAAACATTATAGATATTAATAATTAAAATCATACATTTTTTAAATCTTTTGTAAATAATTTTTGCTGATTCCACTGATGTGTTATTCTCCCATAAATAAATGTTAGTAATTTTTAATCTTGTAAATGTCTTTTTTTGTTCTGCCCACTAACAATTTTCTTTACATTGATGATATTTAACAAATTTCCTTTTTCCGAGCCCTCTACACTAGACCAAAGAGTGACAATGAAAATGAAATACAGCAAACAGGTGGTTGTTTACAGTTTTCAAAATTTTTGTAAACATAAAAAGAAAACTGTAAACATAAACGTCACCCAACATGCCTGCATTTTTGTGACTAAGTGCAGTCAAACTTAATTTTCTGAATGATTTACATTTTAACTTGACAAGGTCATGCATCGACTAAATTCATGACTGACATTTGTAAACATAAAAAGAAAACTGTAACACACAAATGTCACCCAACATGCCTTCATTTTTGTGATGAAGTGCATTCAAACTTAACTTTCTGAATGATTTACATTTTAACTCGACAAGGTCATGCATCGGCTAAATTCATGTCTGACATTTTTCACTTCATTAGGGGAGATCTTTTATGAAGGGTTAGAGTTGAACAGGGAAGACACTAGATATGAATCAGTTACTATTCTGTCATTTTCTTATGCATAAATTTGTACTTTTGCTTGTTCCGACTGTTGTGCACAATGTCTACTTTTAAATTTCTTGTTATTGTTGTTGTTGTTACAATTGTTCTTCTTCTTCTGAACAGGACAGGCAACATGTGATGACATTTATCCTCAGATATTTCTTAACAGGTCATCAACTTTATTTCTTTATTTATTTATTTGAGTGTCTAGTATGGTATGAATGTAACTATTTATGGTAGGTTTTTTTTTTTTTCCCCCAACCCCCAGCAATCTGATTTTATTTCTGTAGAGCAAGGTTCAATACACTCCTTGGGAGCCATAGTCTTTAGGAATGTATATATTCTTCACTGCACTAAAGTCACTCAATCGTCATAGCTTTTCTTTATTGAATTCGATCAACGATTAAACCTACTGAGAGCGGTAATGGAAGAGATGTTATCTGAACTCTTATCAATTTTAGAGATTGTTTTTAATTATTGTTTGACTCTTTCTTCTCAAGTCTCATGGAACAAGTTTTCATCATGAGCACTGAAAGATTGAGGAAAGTGATATATTTGTAAGGACTCAAACAAGTGGTATAGCTTTCAAGCAGAGTTCCAGCTCAACATCATAGTAATGTTTAGGGCATGCTTTAAATCAAAGATCATAGTGAAGTTGCAGCAGAAGGAAATCATTTAATTTCTGCAAATATGTCCGAGGTTAAGTTAAACTTGTTTAACCAACTGGACTAGCTCAGTTGGCCACTCTTGTATACTCTCAACTGAGAGATTAGGGTGTCAATCTTTGTCAAAGGCAAAAAGTAATTATTTCATCCTAATTAAAGAGCCTTTCTTTAGTTGTTTGTTTTTTTCCCCATTACGGGGCGGTTGGTTGTTGGTGTTAGGCTTGCTGGTAGTATTGTTGGACTTTTTTAAATAGTTGATTGTCTAGTTTGACGTAATTGTCTTCATATTTGTATTTCTAACATTCCCAGCACCTTGGACTGTTGGGTTAGGCAGCTTAGATTAGAATGGTAACAACTATTACACTTTCCATAGCTGTAAAGAAAATTCTTCTTGATGAATATTGAGCTGGTAATGGGCAATGGCAATTGGCGATGAGAGACGGATTGGATAGGGAAACACCAGCCAGAGAAAAGTAGGCTCGGACTGTTTCAATGTAGGTTCCTTAAAAAATTCTTAACCTACTGTAGCTGCACAATTGATTTTTACCATGAAGAGTTGTCAATGACTTTGCAATTGTTTCCATAGCAAGGCATTTCACAACACAAGCAAACGCAAAACTTGAGAAACACAATAGTTGAGTTGCCAAAACTACTGTGTGAGTTCATATGGACAAACAGACAAACAAACTATCACCGAGTTATAACCACTTACTTGAGTTGATAGTTTCACCTATTCAGAGATTGATGATCTGGTTATTATGGATTGTGTAGGCTCTATTTGGATCGAGAATTTCAGGAGTCATTTGTGAAAGAAGAAAAATAATAAATAAAAATAAAAATAAATAGGGAAGCAAAACGTGTATGAAATAGAAGTATATTTTTGTTTTCACCTTTTTATTTTTTCACTTTTTCCTTTATTTTTCTTTTCTCTCCAAAAATCCCTACTCAAATTGTTGATCCGAACACAAACGTATTGAACTCATATAGCAAATTGGGTGGAAAAACTTGGATGATAATGATGTAGCACAAGGGTTCAAGACAATTTAATGGATCTAATTGATGAAGTGAAGTATTGTTGCTTGAGAAAAGCTTAATGTTGGAACAGGGTGACACTTGCATGAATGAAATTATTCATAAAAATATATGATTTCTACACAATTCCATTTCCCTCATTTAGAGAAAAAAAATCCTATTATTTTTTTTTTTTTTACTAGATTAGCTTTAAATTAGTAGACAAAAAGTACATTACCTTCAATTAAATAAATTTAAAAAAAAAAACTATATTAGTCTTAAAATCTTATTTTATATACTTTTTACATAAGCAATTTTACAAAGTCATAGCACCTCTTAGTGGAAATAACATTAAAGTGTATAACTAATCCTTAAATTGATTATCCGTACCAATTTTGTATTGTGCAGGTTTGACACTAACTTGACCAGTTTAATATTCATATTTTTGGGTCGTGTAATCTTATTTTATATACTTCTTTTTTTTTAAAAGAAATTTATCACAAGACACAAAAATGACAGCTTACACCTATATTTATTAATGCAAATTCTAGTACCTTTTTGTCTAATAGTAAAAAATATATAAAAAGAATTATTCATGTGTAACATTACTATTATCTTTAGTGACTTTTATGCTACGAAGGGAACTAAACATACGTGGTATGATGTCTTTTTTCTCACCTGAAGCAATCAGTGTTTATTTATGTGGTGTAAGGGGCAGACGATATCTCAACTCTATAAATTTAGAGATTGTTTTTAGTGTTGCTGCCAACTGAACTCTTTCATCTTAAGTTTACCATGAGCAATGAAAGAGAGGGGGATTGACACATTTCTTAGGAAGCTAGTTCGAGTGCCATTGAATTTCTTTCAAGTATTGATCTTGAGAAATCCCATGATAGGCTAAACAGGAACTTCATTAAAAAAAACCTTTTGGACCTTGATTTTTCTTAATTGGGTTCATTCTTATCATGAACTGGGTGAGAGGACTGCAATATTCTCCTCTTTGAATTGGCCAAACCACTTCCTGTTTTGAACATAGTAGAGGTTTAAGGCAGGGGGACCCCCTATCCCCATATCTCTCTGTCTTGTGCATGGACAGGTTATTGTGTTTGATTAATGGGAAAGTTTGGGTTTTGGTTTAGGTGCTTTATCTGATTTTCAGTGCTTTGTCTTGGTGCTTTGGAGGATGTTCTGGGGAGCTATCTAAGGTCATTGTCGGTCCATGGTCTGAAACTCTCAAACTCTGCTCTTGTTATGATGTGGTGGTTCATTTTAATTGCTATGTTTCCATTTCCTTGAATGACTTTTGCTCACTGGCTGGACTAAAAATTAGTTTGCATGCCTCCCCTAATGTCCATAACAGTAGAGTTAGAGGACTTAGCACTAAGAGTAACATCCCCCTTAGCAAATACCTTAGGGTTCGCGTCTCACTACAGAGTGAACAAAGCAATTTTAAGCAACATCATTTAGAAAATTCGAAGTAAGCGCACTGGTTGTAAAATTAAGATCATGTCCCCAGATGGGAAGACTACAACGATTAAGTTGTCACAACCATTATTCCCAATCATTACATGCAAACTAATGTTTTACCTATAGAATCAATAGAAGTTTTATGTTGGGAGATACTAAGGAAAATAAAAAAGTGCACTTAGTCAAGTGGGATAGGGTTTGTGGATGCAAGAGTAAAGGTGGTATTGGAATCAGAAAAAAAAACAAAACAAAACAAAACAAACAAGAAGAAATTTTTTTTTGGCTTTTCACAATAAGCGTGGTTGGAATGTCCTCAAAAATACCAATAAACCTTGGGTTAGCGTTCTCAAAGCTAAATATCTTAAGAGAGCTAATAATTGTAATTGGCCTAAATGCAAGAAAGCTTCTCACTTTTGGAAGAGCGTAACAAAAACCAAATAGATTTTGGATAATGGTTACAAATGGGTGATAGGCGATGGGAGTTGCATCTCCTTTTGGTGCGATTGGTGGTGTGGCGGTTGCCCTTTAATAGATATTGTCCCTGGTCCCCATTGTAACCTGAATGAAAAATATCTAACTGAAGATGGAGATTGGAACGTGGAGAAATTTCACGTATCTTATCTGGTCATGTTCGGAAATTTAATGATGGTACTGAAGATATAGGAAATTTGACTAGATCTAGAAGGGAAACATTACCCAAAAGCTTAAACGTTTTCATCTGGCTAGCTTCCCAGGATAGAAACCCAACCAATCACGTGAGATGCGCCAGAAAAACATTACTGATAATGCTGAATGCACAGTACCACCACACTGAAGGCACCCTTCATATCCTTAGAAATTTCCCTGAGAGTAGGAATATTTTGGTGCACTTTGTTAATCCTCAAGACTAAGAGAGGGACAGAGACGAAGGGATTGGGCAATGAATGAAAGACAATATTAAAAGCCCTAGCAGCACTTGCTGACTGGTCCACTTTCTTCACTTCCATTATTTGGCATCACTAGAAAGAAAGAGGAATAATACCATTTCTCTAATAACTTGGAAGCGGACCTTTTTTTTGTTGTTGCTGTAAATGGATCATCCACTATGCCAAAAATATGCAAGAAGTCTTTTTCATGAGGAAATTATATTCCTGATGCTTATGTTTCTTCTAAACTAATCAAATGAAATTTTCCTCCTGCAGGTGAGCTAATGATGAATGTGGATGGAAGTGCTAAAGGCAATCCCAAGCAACTGGAATTGGTGATGAACAAGTTGCTTGGAAGTTTAGATTTGTGGAAAACATATTGAAATTTTTGGCACCAGCATTGAAGCAGAGCTCTGGGAAATTATGAGGGATCTCACTATTGTAAGGCACAAGAACCTTCAAAATGTGAACATGGAAACTCACTCTAGGGTAGCTGTGGCTCTAAATTCTAATTATGGAACATGGAAGCAACACCAATCCCTTCATGGGCATCATTAAAGATTTGTAGATTGCTCCTTAATCGACTCAATTGCAAACTGATTCATGTGTTAGGTGCTCTGTTAAATGTTGATCTTGTTGAGGTCATGTACATCAAACCCCAGTTTCTGTTTGTTTGTTTTGGTTGTTTTGTTCAATTTCCCTTGTACCACAAAAAGAGAGTTTTCTTTCAATTGGTGTTTCCAATTGTTTTGTTGTTGTCCATACTAATCTTAGGTTGGGTTGCAATTCTTTTTTTCTTTTTTTTTAATTAACTTTTTTGCTTTTTTTAGGATAAAATTGTTGGTACAAAAACTGCTGAAAAAGATACCTCTCTTTTTTTTATTTATTTATTTTTTTAAATAATGTTGGGGACACTACAAAATGTATCAATAAAAATACAAATAAACGTATCAATTTGAGAAGAAAAAAAAAAGAGTTCTAAAAACTCAACCGTTGAGTTTGAAAACAAATTTTATTTTTTATTTTTTGGAAAAATTAAAATTACTTTGAAAAATTGTACACGTAATTTTCTTAAGTAGTTGAGTGATAACAGATAACCTATCTAATATATTTTAGATTTGGTTGTTTCAAAAGAATTTTGTATAGACAATATTAAATAATGTCCCAATAATATCAAATAGTTTAAAAAGATTTAAGTTTGTAATCTTTCTATCCCTCCTACCAACTATTATTGAGATTAGCATTGGGGAATGTATAATCCAGTTGCAGAAGTTTAGCTTATAAGGATACTTTGCACTTTCTTAATCTCAATTATTGAGAGATTAGACAGTATTAATTCCAAAATGTACATAAAGTGAAGCACAAGAAAATTCTCAGATCTTCATATGCCAACTATGTGGTAGTCTTTATGATCTCCCACAAAAGGCTTCACATAGTTGATATCGTGGCAGACTATCCAAATTCAATTTCTAGGAGCCCACAAGCGTGCACAAGGTACAATACCCTGGGTCTCTAACCCAGGGTCGGCTTTGACATTTTTTAAGCGCAAAACAAGCTCTTAATATGGGCGTTTCATATATTTAAATAATAATAACAGTTTGTGATAAAAAATTACATGCTTTTTGTTTTTTTGTTTTTGTTTTTGGTATTTGACATAAAATTTACTTAAATATATAGCAAAATGTGTAATAAAAAAGGACCAAAACAATCCAAACCCAAGTACCAAATAAAAATTGAACAAATTGGAATAAAATATCATTTCTCGTATTTTTAGTTACAAAATTGCTAATCAAACTTACATAATCCAATTTATCAACTAAATTATTTTCAATGGATAAAATTGCTAATTCATTCAATCTTTCTTGTGACATAGTTTATTAAAAGTAAGATTTAGGCCTCTTTTGGTTTATGGGCTTATATGGGTCACATTACCGGGGCTTTTCCCATATTAAGCCAATTTACTATCTTAATTCCCAAACTAGGCCTAGTTTGGACGGAATTCCCAAACTAGGCTAAAGCGCTATTACAAATCACGCTTTCACTATTTGGAGCCGAAAATGTGATGAATAGTGAAAGCGCTATTACAAACCACGCTTTTAATTAAGAAAACGTGGTTACAAACCACGCTTTTAACATAAGTTTATTTTCTGAAGAAAACGTGGTTTCAAACCACGCTTTCACTGTGCATATGTTTAATTTTTTTTTTTGAAGAAAACGTGATTCCAAACCACGTTTTCACTGTTGAGATGTAAAAGCACGTTTTCAACACTACACTGTGCCTTCATTCTCACATGCGTACACACACTCTCTCTCTCTCACACACACGCATATAATTTTTAATAAAATTGAGACTAATATTATTTTAATATAAATTTTTAATATATAATTTATAATATATATAAATTTTATTTTATAAAACTGAGACTAATATTAAATATATATAATAATTTATAATAGTAAATAATAATCAATTATATAATTTTTGTAAATATAATTCACTTTGCTTGGTTTTCATTTTTTAAAAACAGTTTTCAGAAAATTCTACACTCTTATTTTCTGTGTTTTTTTATTTTTACTGAATTTTTTAAATATTTTATGCAAATTTTTTACTTTTTAGACACACCTAACATAAATACACCTAAAAAGAAAAAAAAATCTTTTAAAAATTCACTAAATACCAAAAATACAAAAAAAAATACAAGAATTTAGTACATTTTTTGTATTTTTATGTTTTTCTTAATTTTTTAAAATATTTTTTCACAATTTTTTTACTTTTTAGACACATCTAAGTAAGGTGCATCT